CTGCTGCTGCTGCAGTAGCTGCTGCAGCAGCTGCTGCAGCAGCAGTTTGTTGGGTTTTAATATAATAACCCCAGAATCAAATCTATCAGGGGGAAAGAGAGAAGGAGAGAATGAAGGTTTTTCTTTTTTTATTTTTATATAAAAAAGAGAATCTATGTTCCGCAGCACAACACAATCTATGTTTATATAAACTAAAACTTCTATACACTCTAAACCCCATATACTTACTCTTAGTATACTGTTATATATACTATCATCATAAAACTCCTGCTGCTGCTGCTGCTGCTGCTGCTGCTGCTGCTCCTGCTGCTGAGGCTGTTGCTGCTGCTGCTGCTGCTGCTGATTGTGCTGCTGCTGCTGATGCTGCTGCTGCTGAGGCTGCTGCTGCTGCTGAGGAGGGGGTTCCTGTTGCTGTTGATGTTGCTGTCTCTGCTGCTGCTCTTTATTCTGCTTCTCCTGCTGCTGCTGCTGCTCCTCCTCCTGCTGCTGCTGTTGCTGTTGTTGCTGCTGCTGCTGCTGCTGCTGCTGCTGCTGCTGCTGCTGGTCAACACCAGCAGCAGCACAGAGCTGACGCGGTTCTGTCTCAACAAAGTAAACAGCAAAAGAAGAATAAACAACACACCCAAACAAAGTAAAACCACAAACCCTCTTTAATTCCTCTACAAGAGGGGGCCCCCCCAGGGGCCCCCATGGGGGCCCCCCTCCCCCCTGGGGTACCCCCTCCTGGGGGCCCCCCTCGGGTTCTCCTGGGGCCCCCTCCTGGGGGTCCCCCTGGGGGCCCCCCTGGGGGCCCCCCTGGGGCCCCCTGTACCCCTTTAGACCCCAGAAGTCCAGTGCCTGGGCCCCCTTGAGGGCCCCCCTGAGGGCCCCCCTGAGGGCCCCCTCGTGTGTTTCCTTTTGGTGCCCTTTGGGGGGGCCCCCTGCGGGGGGCCCCCGCGGCGAGGAGCGTTCTGGGGTTTGTGTGTGTGTGGTGGGTTTGTTGCTACTGGTGGTGGTGTTGTGAGTGGGTGTTGTTTTGGTGGGGTTGTTGTTATTGTGTTGTAGTATTAGAGAGTCTACAGCTGGCCGTATGCGGGGGGGGAGAAGCACAAGGAGAGGGAAAGAGGGTTTGGTTCTATCTAAAGAGTTAATGAGGCAGCAGAGGCCAGGAATATCATCAGCAGCGCTCAACACTGTACAGTATACACCCCGTGGGGTGTATGTACACCCCGGGGGAGGGGGGGGGGAGATG